GAGAGAGAGAGAGAGAGAGAGAGAGAGGGGGGGAAGTTTGAGACCGGCGAGATCCGCCATCACTAACTAATTAATTGACTCTTCGATTAATCAAATTAACTGATTGTAAATTGATCGCTATAAGGGACTTTACTATTAAGTATAAATATTATATATTATACAGATATATAAAAGGTGGATTCGCTGTTAAACGTGTCGAATAAACAAAGCAAAAAACAAAAAAGAGAGAAACAAAATCCAGGAGTAAGTGAGCGAGTAAGAGAGCTTGGGCCGGCACTCCGGCCTCCGACATATTTTTTAATTGCTTCGAACCTCTATTATTCTACCTACTAATTAAACGTAATAGTGTATCTACGTGTGCGCCCGAACGATCGGCCGATCCGCCTGTCTCGTCACCGTCGCCCGTCGTCGTTCGCGCTGGTCGGTCGGATCGTGATCGCTCGGGCTAATCGAGATGTGTTCTGTATTCGAATTAACGAATGTACTTCTCGAATATTCATCGCTCCTACGAATGTGTCGCGGGAAGGAAGGGTGACGGATGCTCGACGATACTTAGGAAATTTCTGCTCCTTGCCGCCCGACCTCGCGTAAGCCGAGCACGCAGATCTCTTGCGAGATGGGGACGTTTCATTTGGGTGCTCAATGGATACACCCGAGTATCCCGCAATACTCTGTAAATCTGGATGTCCGTCAGTACTATGATGTCAATGCTACGACACTTTATGTGAAAATAAATTGTTACAAATACACTACTGATATATAAATCCGAAGCCATGGTGTTCTTTACCTGAGAAACAAAATGCCCGACCAACGAGATGGGAAGATATGCGCGATCGTCGCAAATATCCAAAATCTTTTGTTCGTCCCTGTTTAATTTTTTTACAACTTATTATGCGTTACAGCGTGACGCTGCGGGATATTCGGAGGTCCAGCGAATGCCCGATGGATTCTCAATGAATATCTGTGTGCGGGCTGTCATTTCGAATGCCGAGAATCTCTAGTCGATGCACAGCATGTAGGCGCGAAAAAGAAAAAAACAAAAATGAGAAGAAGATCCGACATCCTCGCCCGTCGTTTTCCGCCAACGAGGCTGATGTTTTAACGAATAATTCTCTAGACTATTACCGAGTCGAGTTAAGAAGACAAAGTCACTGTGCGTTTACCCACAATTATTAAAGGATCACTAAGCATAGCAGGACTTCTCAGATGCTGGACGTACGATGCGTGTTGAAGGAAAGTAAGATGTGATTGTTCAATCGCGTTCTCGTAATGCGCGCTGATTGTTTTGCAAGTGAAAAGGAAAAAAGGAGAGATCAACAAAAGAAAAGAATTGGCAAACGAGACTATACACGAGACCACAGTTAAGAATCGCTAATTAACCAGAGCCTCTGCATTTTTTCTATGCGTCAACTTTTGCTGTTGTTGTTCCGCGTGTCCCGCCGCTAATAATTCTTCCGCTAATAATTTATCCGTCATGAAGAAAAAGAAAGAGAGAGAGACATAAAATTTAGGCAAGAACGAAACAGGCAATCGCAAAGTGTTGAAAAGAGGTTCAAATTAGTGTTGCTCGAAAAGATTGTAACTTTTAGATAGAACCACGAAGTCACCCGATCGAGCTGCTGAAACAACGGCTCCACGACGGAAAGGAACGAAGTCGCATCTCTCGCGTAAACACATCCCTCATGTAAATTTTAATATATTAAACAAATCTTGTGGAGACAGACTTTTCTCTTTCCCTGGGCTCACCTTACCTGAGAGTCAGTGGCAGTTTGTGTCAAAGGAAATAAATTGATTCGTTGAAACAAGCGGAATGCGTTAGTCATTTGGCTTCTCTCCTCCTCTCGCTAGTTGCATATCTGAAATGAGAAACAAAAATTTATTGATCCTGATCAATGAAAATAGAAAAGAATCGAGGATTTGTGAAATTTACGAAATCAAGGATACACTTTAAGAGATTCTTTGAAATATTGCGTTTCTTTTCCGTCATTTTTCAATTGAGCGCCTCGTTTCAAATGCCGCTTTATTTTACGGTTAGAATACCGAAATGTTTCAATCAGGAATTATTCGAAAAATATCTTACCCGCGTCTAACGAAAGGTAGAACATTGAAGAGAACGTTTCTCGCTGCGTGAGAATCTTCTTTACAGTTCAAAAATACTGCAATCGTGGAATACTTTTCTAACACGAAATAAGCACGGCCGACTTGCACTGCATAAAGAAGGCGGGTAATTGGCCATATTTAAAAATTATATAGGCGCGGAACTCGCATTAGGATTAGTGGCTCCATCTATCGGAGTGGATAGGCGTACTAAAGCGAAGAATATGGCCTCTATTGGGAAAAATATGAAGTGCTTCGCATCAAGGCCTCCCATAACCTATGTTTCAGGGAACGCACAAAAAGTGTCGGTTCATTATACACCTCATATATTTTTGATTGTGTCGAAGTTCACGATGCCGTTGGAAAATTTGGAAGAGGAAGGCTTGGAGAAAAATCCGAATCTGGAATTGGCGCAAACTAAATTCCTGTTGAGTCTTCCCGAGCACAGGAATGATCATCTTCTTAAGACGAAACTCTTGGATGCCATTAAAGCCGATAGTGAGATTGCATCTTTTTCCTCTCACCGCTTGTTATATTATTTTTCGAGAATTTAACGTTATTTACAAGCGCATAATCGATGTTACTTAAAGAAAAATAAGTTTTACGCTACTTTTATCTTCATCATCGAATAAATATGTCATCTGTCATCACTTAACCTTATTCTATCAATAACTCTAACCTTATTCTGTAATCATATATGATAGAATATTCATTTAGTGCAAAAAATGCTGATAATTAATTGTCGGCTTTTATTTAACAGACATGGCTCCATTTTATGAGGAGGTGTGTAAAGACTTGGACTGGTCAACAGATGAAGCACTGCTTACAACAATGAAAGCACACAATACAGAACAGTTGAAAAAACTCGACGATGCTATTGAGGATGCTGAAAAGAATTTAGGCGAGATGGAAGTTCGCGAAGCCAATTTGAAGAAATCTGAATATCTATGTCGAATAGGCGATAAAGAAGGTGCAATCTCGGCATTTAGGAAAACTTACGACAAGACAGTATCTTTAGGACACAGACTAGATATTGTATTTCATAATATCAGAATTGGATTGTTCTATCTGGATCATGATCATATTACCAGAAATATCGAAAAGGCCAAAAGGTTGGTTAAAGCAATCTTTCCTGCCGTTTATATATGACTATCCCTTTCCCTCGACAGTCAATAAATAGTCTTAAAATTAACATAGCATGTAAGCTTTCCCTTTGATATACCTTTCCTCATGATCTTGTCGTGTTAATTTTAAAGCTGTTTTATTGGCTGTCTAGGGGAAAGGATAGTTCTTGGAGCATTTTACAAGTATGTTCAAGCGGTCTTAAGTGTTTTAAGTTTTTTTTATATAAATATCTTTACTTGAAAATGGCACACAAGAATCTTGTGCTTTCTTATTTTTAATATCATTATCAATCCAAGATTTCACAACAATGGGGTCAGGAACCTTAATATATAAATTTTGCAGCTTGATAGAGGAAGGTGGCGATTGGGACAGACGAAACCGTCTGAAAGTCTATCAGGGAACATATTGCATAGCAGTTCGCAACTTCAAGGAAGCTGCAAACTTTTTCTTGGACACAATCAGCACATTCACGAGTTACGAACTAATGGATTACAACACGTTCGTGAGGTACACTGTATACTTGAGTATGATAAGTCTCCCGCGTAACGAGCTGAGAGACAAGATTATCAAGGGATCCGAGATACTAGAAGTTCTTCATAGCAATTCAGATGTCAAGGATTACTTGTTCTCATTGTATAATTGCCATTACGCGGACTTTTTCAAGAATCTCGGTAAATAAACGGATGCAATTTTTGTCCTTTCTCGTATTTATTTTCACGGAACTATGTCGTAAGTCGCGGTATCTTTTCAGCGCACGTTGAAGGATTACTGCGCCGAGATTACTTGGTGTTTCCGCATTATCGATATTACGTACGAGAGATGCGTATACTCGCCTACACGCAGCTATTGGAATCCTATCGGTCTTTAACCCTCCAGTATATGGCTGAAGCATTTGGCGTTACAGTAGAATATATTGATCAGTAAGTATTCTGCTTTGTTCTGCTTCTTTGCAAAATTAGTCAATAAATATTCTGGAGCTGCGTTATTTTCTGTAGAGACTTTGACTCTTAGAATGTGTAAAATTACAACACTGATTATTAAATTCATTTTACAGAGAATTGTCGCGCTTTATAGCAGCGGGGAGATTGCATTGCAAGGTTGATCGGGTCGGGGGTGTAGTCGAAACCAACCGGCCAGATAGTAAAAATTGGCAATACCAAGCAATGGTGAAGCAAGGAGATCTCTTACTCAACAGGGTGCAAAAATTATCGCGTGTTATTAATATTTAATTTCTTATACGATATTATCATATATATATATATATATCAAATATACGCGCAATGTACACCTCTAACACAGTTAAAATTTACTTACCTTGAATATAACGCAAATTGTGACTGTATTTAATGAATATTTACATATTGAATAATACTTTTTATGAAATTGAGAGAAAGTCTATACGAGTAAATTTAATGTAGCGGTGTATATACACATACGAACACGCGCATAGTATAACGATTTATTAGTCGAATATTTATTTCGAGAGAGAACGGTCTTATTTAACCTTTGCAAAAAGACAAAACAAACATACTGGTATAAGCAACTACAGATAGCTGGCAAGGGGGAACAAAGAATACATAAATCAGTAAGTTTCTATCCGACACGTTCCAACAGAACATGAGAGAAAGTTGATCGGCAGTTATCTTTCTGATAACGTCGCGAAATATTCAAGATATGTTACGTATAACAACTAAACTAGCGAACTGATTATTAAATAGTGACTGTATACAAAAGTTTGAAGGATAACCGAGAAGATGAGGTGCACAATTATCAAAAATTGGAAGTTGAAGAACGAGAAGTGTGTCCAATGTACTCGGTACTGCAGCATTCTTATGTAAGTCATTCGCGCGATTGTTAAAGAATATCGGAAAGCAGCGATTGAACTTCTATTGGGAGTCAGTCAGTCGGTTTTCTTTGTCAGTTTTGCACAATGTTTATCTATCTCACATTCGCCTTGTTCTTTTCTTTTCTCAGAGACAAAGTAACTCCTGCCGGGTTGCTTTTGTGCAATTCGTGCGGAGGCTTTTCTTAGCACTAATATCAGTGCTTCGATGAACGGTGATGCGGTCTACGAAAAATGATTACGTCATATACAAAGAAACAAATCCATTACGGATTTAAAATTAATTTTAAAGGACGTGACACGAGGCAATGACGAGAATTTTCGAATAAGTTCGATCGATTTTATTCTTCTAACTAGTCGACTATATGCGTTTCATTTTCTAGTCCGCGACACCATTAGCGTTTTCAACCGAGTATATATTATACGATTGAACGTGTGATAGCACGTTAAAAAATTTATTTAAAGTTCTACATGATGTATAATCATGAATAATTCAACGCAAACTACTTGAAACGGCTTTGGGACACGTTTTAAATAACGCGGCAGGTCAAACAAAATCGCCGTCCGATAAAAATTCAACTAAAAATAAAAGTATTAAAAAAATTTAAAAAAAAGTTCTTTCGGTGCGTAATTATGAATAATTAAACGTGAACACACACTGTTTAAAACAGTTTTTAGAGAAATATCACGGCATGGCAATGCATACCATACCGCTTGATAGAAAATTTTATTGAAACCTGCGTGACGATAAACACGTGTGTGCATATTGAAAAATTAACAAAGGAAGCAACTTTTTCGACATATAATTATCTGTAATTCAACGCGAACTGCTTGAAACGGCTTTCAAACACGTTTTAAATATTACGGCCGGGCAAATCAACTCGCCGTTTGAAAAAAATATAAGAAAATTCACGCGAGACAATAAGCGCGCGCGTGTATGTAGAAAAATTAACAAAAAAAAAGAAGTCTTGTTCGACGTATAATTATTAACAAATTTACGTGAACTACTCTTGCGAAACTGCTGACGAACAAGTTTTAAACTTACGCGGTAGGGTAGATCAGCTCGCCGTTCAATAAAAATTGATTTAAATTCGCGTGACAACAAGCACGTGAAATATAAAAAAAAGGGGAGGGGAGAAAGACATTCGACAGAAATCGTCAGAAATTAAAGACACGAATTGCTTGAAACGGCTATTCGTGTGCATTTAAAATTCCCGCGGCCATCTCGCCGTGCGACGACAGAGACCTCTTTCGATGTCGCGCGATATCATCGATATGTCACCTACCGGAAAGTGTCAAGGAACCATGAGGAACGAGGAACAGCTGCGTTAATACCGCGGTAACCTGCTGCCAAGATTTAGGCGGGGAGAGCAACACAGAGACAGGCGGCCGGCTGATTCGCTACGTTGCACCGCTTTCTTCGGGATACTCGCACCGCTCTCACAATCCGACTGATACGCGAATTCGGGTACAAATCGATCAATCGTTCCCAACTCGCGTCGTCAGCCACGCATAACATTCGCGCCTGACTCGTCATCGTCCAAAAATACATACCGGTCGACGGACGAAAAAACGTACTGACAGACGAAGAGGTGGAGAGGAGGTGCAGGGAGATCGACTAGCTAAAGCAAGATCGCGCTTTGAAGACGGCGAACGGTATCTCGATAGCGCGCATAAATTGTCGTCCCGACAATGGACAAGACGAAATTGGTGAGCAACGATCTGGAGCTGCCACCGTTGCGCAGTCTAGACGACTTCCTCCTAGGATCCGCTCGCTTTCAATTACCGAACCTGAAGGACTTGGAGAAATGGGGCAACCGCGTGGTCAACAATCTCCTCTACTATCAGACCAATTACTTGTTCATGTCTGTCATCATCTTCCTCGTCGTCGGGTGAGTATGTTTGCTGACCTTTGCAGCTTTATAGGTGTCATTTGTATAAATACTCTTTTACGGTAAACTGACGTGGTTTAAAAACCCTCTTGATGTCAGAACAATTGTTACATTCAATTTTATTTAATTTTATATGGCATTGGGGGAACAAGCACATATCTGTAATTTTATTATTATTCAAAATGATAAGATAAACTTTTAATTGATAAGATTATTTTCAGCAGATGCACAAAATCTCAGAGAATCTAAAATGTGTTTTAAAAATTACTTCATTAATGATATTTATTTTTCAATTTTGATATAAATATATACTATATACTTATATAGTATATCCTGCTTTCTAAAAAAGGAAAAAAATATATATATATGTATAAATGTATGTATATACTGTTTGTATGTTTTTAGTGACTTTTGCGCATGTATCACTTGAGATTAAGAAATATAAAGAACAAACTTGTTGACAATATATATATTTATCTTATTTATGTGAATTTCTTACATGCATACAGATTGATTCATCCAGTTAAAATGCTAGTTGGTATGTTGGCTATGTTGGTTATCTTGGGTGTATTCATCTATGTATCCATGGAAGGAAGCGCAGCATACAACTTCAAGAAACAGTATCCAGCGATTGGAGTTACTTTCATAATATTAGCTGGGTGTTTTCTAACATATACTTTGGGATCTCTCATTGTTTTCTTTCTGGGAATATTGCTTCCATTTTGTGGTAAGTGATGATTAAACATTAAAAATTTCTCATTTAGTTAATAGAAATCAATTTTATTACTATGCGCTCTTTGTATCTTTGTAGTATACTGTTTGTATATTTTCAGTGACTTTTGTGCATGCATCACTGAGATTAAGAAATATAAAAAACAAACTTGCCAACAAAATCGAGGGCATTGGATTGAAACGCACGCCGATGGGTATTTTCCTGGAACATCTCGGTATGGAAGAAGAAATGTTTGCATAAATTTCTATAGTTTGATGTTTTTGAGTCGTTACGGTAGAACGAGTGAAAATGCTTTGCAATCTAACAGCTACTTATCACACCATGTATACAACACTATATAAGTTTTCATACCAATCCATATAGTATGAAGCTTTAACATCTATTTTCAAATATATCTTAGGCAAGCTTTATAACATATTGTTACCATATATATTACCATGCATTTTCTTATGAATATACTTATGGACAATATAGCAATTGATCAAGAAAGAGATTCCAATGCTTCAGAGAGGACTTTAGAACTGAAATATAATGTTGATTGTAAAACCATATTTTCTTAACTAGTCACTAAAGAATAATTAATACGTACGTGTTACGTTTCGAATGCTTATATCACGTTAATATTTAATATTTAACGAAATCTCTATATAAATTTCTATCTATATATTTGCTAATATTGCGAATGAAAGTATATAAGAAACTTATTATTTATTAATATTAATAGTATTTAATATTTTTGGACAGCAATTTTCAATTAATTAATATAACTCTATTCACTATATGTATATATACAATATTCAGAGCATTGTCTCTTAAAATGTATGTTTATTATTAGAAGCATATATAATTTAAGAAAAATGTAGACAGTATAGTGATATTAAATACCATTGTATTGATTCTCCGTACAAGATCTGTTTAATGAGGATTATCGTTATATGATGTACCAAGATATGTATGTGAATAAAAACACATAAATTATCTTCCTTATTTTATAAGAGAACATTAGCATGCATTATTTAAAAATACAGTATACACACATCACATAACATTCACGAAAATCGCATTTTAAACAGCATTTTTTATATTTATACTAACGATTTCTTTCGACGTTTAATCTTTTTTAATCTCTTTCGATATTTGATAAGTTTATTTTGTAAACATTCATATTTATGCACATGGATTGGGAGACATATACATTACCCATAGTTTATCGTCATCCTTCATGTTGATTTTTAGCAAAGCATAACACCGTTTATTTAATACCGTTAATAATGTAGAGCACTATTACTTTTGAGTTGTACTTCATGTCATATCTAATATTCTGTTGTTATTTTCTCATTTCACCATACAGAAGACGTGACTGGTTTCGCCTTGCGTGCACAGACCTCTCTCGTACTACAACCGCCTCACTAATATCCTGCTTTGCGCATCAGGTTGTATATAAATCAAATTGACAGAAGTTAACGTCAATAAGCGTTAACATTTGTTGCTACTGCAGATCTAATCGGGCCACAAATTGCCTGGTGTTGCCGCGGTTGAGAACATTCATTTAACAGGTTATAAAATAAACAAATAATCTCTCTCTCTCCACGACACTTCCGGAATACAAATTATGACCAGATATCTGTGACTTAAATCAAGAACGATCTAAATTACTTCACACATGACACGCTATACCAATTTATTTATAACTATTTTCACAAACTTCTTCAGATATTTATATTTTAGGGTTATCACAATTTGAGGATATACAATTTTTAAATCTTGTAATAACAGCGTGTTGAATGTGCCGTATGTATATGTAATATGTTAATACTTAAAAATCAAAGTCACTAAAGTTATATCTGTGTATATAAAGTGCGACATTTTTAATTAATTTGTATATATATAAGTGTATATATAAATCAATAATATATGTAACACACATGGCGAGTTGTTTTTACAAAACCTTATACTACATCAAGATGTTATTCTGATTTAATATTTTAATATATGAATCCTATATCCTTCCTTATATTATCATATTCTCTATTATATTCTATATTATTATATTCACTATTATATTCTCTATTACTGAAAGGAGTGATTAGAAATACAATGTAGTAAAACTAACATGTCTGTAATTTTAAAATCTGCCGAGTAATGCACGCATCTTGTCATATATGCACAAATATTGGATATTCCTGTCATTAGTTACACAAACAAGATTTTTTATTACAACAAACACGCGCTATATCGTAATTTTGAGCATTTTGTATAGTGATGGTGCGAAATATCAATATGACTCAATTAAATTCTATATTTAATATCCGTTTAATATATATATATATAGATACACAATATAAGACACGTAAATTCGAAGAGATACCTTTCCTTACTAGATTGTACAGTATGTAATTATGTAATATTATACACTGAAAAATAAGTATAAATACAGATGCATAGTGCACATGAGACGTTACTGCAGTCGTTGGATAACACCGGTATACTGTCGATATTAGTTACAATCAATACTCGTAAAATATCACGATCTATATCTATCTTAATTATACCGGCAGTTTTAAGTTTGAACCGATTAATTAATCTCGACGAAGATCGCACATTGACATAATATCTTGTACTATCGGCAATGTATAGAATTGTTACCATTGACTAATCTCACAGCTACAATATACCGCAATATGAACTTTTACTTGGTTCTTGTCGCTTGAATCACATTGGCCAAAGTTTTCTTTCGTACGTAGAATACCGTAAAATGTTTCACTTTCATTACATAATAAAATCGCGAAATTTATTGCATAATAAAATTTTATGAAATATCTGCCAGAATATACAGATTTGTCACTTGCGTCATATCGAAATATTTTCGCAGGGAATAAATATCGAAACTGCTATACATACACAATGATATGGACGGTATTTATGAAATTGGCCAAACATTAAAAAAAAAAAAGAATAAAATAGTAATGAGATTATTAACGATAATGATTATAGATATACACAGCATATGCAGCTAACGATTTCTCATAAATACCCACGTTGTAACTATACTTCTTTCACAGTTAAGACCTTATCCTAAAGTAGAAAGATCACCGAGCAAAGTTTCTACACGAAATGAACACCAAAGTGGCAGTGCTTTACTGTTCATCGTAGATCTTGAAGTAACATCGCGCGTCTTAAATTTGGGGGAACACATTAAATAAATAGAAGAAACATATAACTGAGAAAAATTCCAAAATTTGTTTCTTAATTGTTTGAGAAATAAATTTAATTCCCGAAGTTTTAAGTATGCATCAGCGTGCCGAATTTCTATAAACCTATTTACGCTTGAGTTAAAAAATCATAGTGGAAGCACAGTTCGTTCCACGGGATGTTACTATATCTTCGTTATGAATACTGTATTCGCTGGGAATAAAATTGTATCTAACAGACGGATGTTTGGAGATAGTGCGCCGACGTTTGTTTTCGGATACGGCACTAAATAGGTATGCTCCGTTGGTGGGAATCCCATTTCGTCCATTTTAACCAAGAAGTCCTGAAAACGAGATTGCAACGATGTATTTTTCTAATATTATAGCATCAAAAAGATAATTGAGTGCTTACCTCTATAGTTTCTGTCGCGCATATCGATATCGTTTCCCTCGTACCATTTGGCAGTCGTAAGCAGAGTCGTAAGAAAGGTTCATCACCTGAATTAGAAAATAATTTTGGAGATAAAACGAGAAATAGAGTTTTCTTTGGGAATATCAATAGAGTTTTCTTTGAGAACACACACAATGTGTGTAGGGATATCACACTCACTTGTTCCAGCTTTAGCTGTGTTTGACTTTACTTTTTCCTCCTTCTGCTGAGATTTATCAATCTCGCATTCATCCAGTCTCCTTTTTTTATTAATAACGGTATTTGTGGTAGTGTTACCGCTACTATTGCTACTACTACTGCTACTGCTGCTGCTGCTGCTGCTGCTGCTGCTGCTGCTACTGCTGCTGCTGCTTGGAACACTTGAGCTTGTAACGTTACCAGACGCCGTATTTTCGTTTTCTGTGCATTTAATAACGCAAATATAATTTATCTTATGAGATAAGCAAACAAATTAATATATCGATATAAATTGCTATTTTCTATAATTATTTCTAGTAAATGAGAAGAGTACAAACCCGAATCTATGATGTTTTCTGACAAAAGTCTGGAAATTTTACTGCTGGATCCACAATCCTGAGGAACGAAACATTACACAAGAATTAATAATTATAGAGTTACAAAATTACTTGTGATAAAATTTAAATACTGACGTTCTTTATTTGATCAATTAGAATATTTCGTTTTGGAGGCGATGTAGGAAAATTGTTCCAATCTTTAGAACTGGATGTATCCTGCGAAGCGCTTTCTGGAGATGCGTGTGTGCTCAACATATCATTTAATCCAGAGATTAAACTGTCCACCGTGATATTATTGTAGGTCCTCATACATTCTCCTGTTCTAGGATCTATAATTGCCAGGTAAGGGTACTCCACTACATTGTAAAAATCTATGTAACGTCTTCCATCTGATGTATTAGACAAAACCTGATAAAAAGACAATTATGCATTTGTAAACTATTAAAACTACTTTAGACTGACATATAAAATATAACTATATTTCACTGAACTGAAATAAGAATTATATGGTGATAGCATATTTTGAGATATGACATACTTGCCACAAAATAAAATGATCCTTCACAATCTCTTGAACCTGTTGATTTGGCCAGACATCTCTGTTGAGCACTTGGCAAGAGAACTCCTGTGGATTTTGGACATTGACAAGCAACCAACGGTTCAGGGTCTTAGCATGGTCTCGAGCCTCCATGAATGTACCCAGAAAAAGAATATTGCATGGAGGTCTGAACAGATCTTCTAATCGTTTTGATTTTCTTGGGCAGATATGTTTCATGCCAGATACTCTGCGAGTCATTTCTTCCTCTTGTCGTTCTATACCAATTAAATTAACATTGAGAATTGTATAACTTGACATATGTAATGTACTTTATACTAAGTTAATATATATCATGCTGTACATACGAGTTTCTACTGCAAAGTCTCTAAATCTGTCGAACACATTGTTTGATATTCTTGGAAATGAACACACTGGCTCTGATGGCACTAATATCTCTTGTGTAGGTAAAATAGGAGCTCTTACTGGTGGTTCATGATTTACATTTTCATTTTCTGATGGCCTGCCGCTTTCAAACATTAAACTAATTGCCATCTCTACATTGCCATCAGCTAACGATAGATACTGCTGTGCTGTTGCCTCGCTCTCACCTGATGGAAATAAAATAGTAATATTTCTCAATAGCTGTGACTATTCAGAACAAGATATCAATCTCAATGTCATCAATATTATCAAAATTTGATATAAATATTTTTTGCTACAGAACAAAGCTAAATAAAACTATTGAGGAAAACATTGTTTGCATGTGAAACTGAATGCTTTTATCTTTCATAAGTTTCAATTTTGGCAAAACAATATATTGATATATTATCTTTATTGTGTGATATATCGTTTTTATTTTATTATTGATATATCGTTATTATACATATCATATTATAATACGGTACGCATTATATTCTATTCGGATATAATGACCGCGTGTGTTTACATTCACGGAATAGGTATTGCGTTTACTCAACGTGATTTTTAACCTGAATAATTATTCTTTGTTATAACGGCGATACTCACCCGTTACCTCAATAAACTTCTCTACCAGTTCGCGATCCATCGTGGCACCTCGAATTTAAGAGGATTCTTTTCGGTGCGAACACACGATCGGAGAGTTTCCTCTAAATTGCTCAAATCTTTACAAACCAAGCAGCATCTTGTCGCATATCGACGAACCACACTTCGCTGCACTCAGGCTGCACAAGAGATCTTTATAACTGTTCTTTATAACTGCACTTGTCGGAATGTATGTAAACTTTCTATTCTCTTCTCTCTCTCACCAAGTGTCAAATAAAAATGTATTTCATTTTAAGTGCAGACAATGCAGCTTAGTGCAGCTATAAGAAACAGACCTTATGCCTGTATCACACTAGCGATCGCGTCTGCGTTTGCTTCGCATCGTTACCAACCAAAATGGTAATCGCGAATCGCGCCATCAGCAACTCCTTTCTAATTGGTCAAGATGCAACGTGAACGCAGATGCAGTCGCTAGTGTGATACAGACATTAGGGCAGCATTCATCCAATGGGAAAGCAAATAAGGAGCCTAAAGTAAATTAGTTCCAAAGTCGCCGTTACAAGTCACTACTTTCCTTAACGAAGAATTGGCGGTAAGTAATGTGAATGTAATGTGCGATGCGTTACCCAGGAGATGCAAACAATTTTATTAGGATGTCAGAACCCTTTTTGCCATATTCACTTGCAAAATGGAATAAGCAAAATGAATATAGAATGGATTATGAAATAATACCTGAATACATTGGAGAAAGAAAGAAGAAAAGGAAATTATAAGAAGCAACGCAATTAAAAGAAATGTTTATTTTAGATACGTATGATATTTCCTGTAAGATTTTGTCAGTTTGACGAGGATAATGGCTGCGTTTCTGCAAACACGAGTTTTCTACGGTTTACAAACGGATATTATTGGCAATGCACATTATATCACGGATGCAGAGATTCTATATCCAGTTGGTAATGTGTTGGCAGTTCATAATTTTGCTCAGCGCGATCAGAAATTGATTCGATTGCCGGAGAAGTATCGAATAAACATCATTTGTGTCTCTCCTAATAAGTAAGTGGATCATTAGGCAGATTATTGGGTTAGCAAGTTAGGCAAATTAGAACATTGTAGTTTTACAAAGAAAATTTGCATCTATTTTTGTTTTCCTTGTATACCTAAGTATATTAGTATAAGACTGATGCGATATAAGTGTTTTATTTAAAGAAAATATGTTGCTTTATCCGAGACTGGCGAGAAACCTACTATCTCCGTTTACGACATTATCTCTCTGAAACGCAAAAAGTTACTCGGCATACCTTACGAAGCCACGGGAGTAACGAAATTCTCATGCATGGCATTCACTCACGACAATAAAAATCTAGCTGCCATCACAGGAGAGCCCGATCAAACGATGCTCTTCTACAATTGGGAGAAGGGTAAGGTGGAGTCTACATATAAGGTGGCCAATCCGCAGAATCCGTTGGCGATCGCTGAGACGATAGCTTGCAATCCGGCCGAGTCGGCGGTGATGGCCTTCGGCGGATCATATACTTTCAGGTTTCTCACCATCGCCGAGACGGTATGGCGTTCGTACGGCTTCGCCAAGGCGGAGAACCTCCTCATCTGCTCGATGACATGGTTGAACGCGGATCGGCTACTGGTCGGCACCAAAAACGGCCGGATACTTTATCTGGAGAACGGCGACCTGAAGAACATTTATCAGATATCAGAGACGGTGTCGATGAATCTGAAAATCCGCGAGGAGTACGTAATGCCCGCGGATCAGAGCTCGCAGATGACCCTGGAGCCTCGCGACAACGCCTGGGAGCAGCATGTACGCTGCTTGATCGCATTCCCGAGAGGGTTCGTTTACGCCCTTGGCGTGGGCACTATAGTCCTGTTCGAGAAGGAGGGGAAGCATAAGTACACGAAAAGAAACATTTATGTGATGCCTATGCAGGCGTGGTCGAAGGAAGATACTCCGGATCTATACAGGATCAACACGATCAATGTGAACGTCAGCTTTGATCATTTGATCGTTACCGCAGGCTGGTCCCAGCTGTTCCACATCGCACTGTGGGGCCCGGATCTGAACATGGACCCGGAGCCGCAGCAGCTGAGTATCATGGGCCAGCCCTTGCATCACGGTTCCATCAGTGATCTCTCGGTGTGCGCTTGGAAGTCAGTCTTCATGACTTGCGGCGAGTTCGATCGCAGTGTCCGACTGTATGACTTTGAGACCGAGAGTCTGATCATGCTGAAGCAGTACGCGGAGGAGGTATGCGGCCTCGCGATGCATCCGATGGGGCTGTTCTGCTTGATCGGCTTCAGCGACAAACTGCGCTTCATGACCATACTGATCGACGACTTGCTGCCGATGCATGAGTTCGCCATCAGGAGCTGCAGGACCATTCGCTTTAGCCACGGCGGCCACATGTTCGCCGCGGTCAATGGCAACATCGTGCAGGTGTACACCACTATCGGATTCCACAACCTCTTCGTCCTGAAGGGCCACACGGGCAAGGTGAAGGCCCTGCTGTGGTCGCAGACGGACATGAAGATGTTGAGCATGGGAACGGAGGGCGCGATTTACGAATGGGACATGGCGACCGGCACACGCTCCGGGGAAGTTATCTTGAAGGGCCTGAATTTGCACGATTTCGCGCTCTCTTCGGACGCGTCGTATACTTACTGTGTAGCACACGACGACCGCATACGCGAGATCAAAGACAACACGGTATCTCTTAACATTTCGTTCGTGTTCTCTTTGTGTCGCGCGAATGAACTCGTAATTTGTCTTCTATTAGGTAATACGGGATTTTAAATTAGCTGGGAAAGAAATGCGTCACATGATCATGGGAAAAGATGACCTTTCATTGTTCGTAACTTGTCCTGGTGGGATTATGTTGTCGCTGAGAAGTCCGCTTCAAAGCCCGGTAGACTTGATAGAATTTCACCTACATAGCGTCGACATCACGAAGGTATTGATGCATCTTAATCAAGATATATGCTCACTAAAAAAGGGCTCAAGACTTACAGAGTAGAAAGTATTCATTATACTGAATAAAAAATGTTTATTAAACGTAGATTCAGAAAAATCAACCTTTTTAGAGTTACAAATGTTTTTCGGCTTTTACTAAATATTCTCTGTATTTATTAATTGAATCATTTACTCAGTACAATAAATAAATCCACCCTGTAAATCTTAAACCCTTTTTTTAACATCTTATATATTACAGATATTCGTAATCCTTATTTCTCTTACTTCTTGCAGATCGCACTCTCATACAACGAGAATTGCTTGATATCTGTCGCGAAGGACGGTAGTTTATGTATGTGGAAATTGTCCTACGCGGAAGGAAAGATCGTGAAGATCGGCAGAGATCTACCATACACGAATGAGGTGTTGATTGGCAAAGAGGATCTGGAGGACAAGATAAGTACAATTAGAGGGTTAACGGTGCGAATAAGGGAATTGGAAACCGAGCACGCATACAAGTTGCGGCAAATTGACGTGATGCACAACGACAAGCTGCGCGATATTCATCAAGGATACTGCGAGGCTATCAAGGAATTGCGAGAGAAGATCGACAAGCTTCAAGAGGATCACATGAATGAGATCAACAACATGAACGTGGAGATACTGAAGACGAAGACCGCTCACGAACAAGCGATGCAACGAATGGAGAATAATTACGAGGCCAAGTTGATCACGGAATACGACAGGTATCAGGCGTTCGAAGAACACACCAACAACATGCGTCAAGATTACGAGCAGCAACTAGTCGATCTTGGGAAACGCAGCGCAGAAGAGTTGCAGAACACTGTGATAAAATATGAAACTTTGGTACACGACAAGAAGCTGCAACTGGAGGAAGCTACCGACGAAATGACGCACAAGGAGCGCGTTCACGAGCGCTTGATGACACAGATAGAGGACGACGCCGATCGCGAGATTCTTGAGATACGAACTAACTACGAGAACCTTCTATACGAGGAGAAGCAGATGAATTTGAAGTTGAAAGGAGAAGCCGGCGTGATGCGGAACAGATTCATGGCCAGCCAGAAGGACGTGGACGATCTGAAGAGGCAAGTGAATCGCGTGCAAGGCGAATACGCACAGTTTCACAAGAATATACAGGACCTGGACAAGCAGATAGCGGAAATGAAGAAAGAGATCGACGAGAGGGACGCTACGATTCAAGACAAGGAGCAACAGATATACGACACGCTGCGGATGAATCAGGAACTAGAGAAGTACAAATTCGTGCTGAATCACAAGATACAGGAGTTGAAGGATCAGATAGAACCGCGGGAGCAGGAGATACAGCAGTTGAAGGAGAAGATCCACGATATGGAGAGAGAACTGGAAAGTCATCACGAGACCAACGCCAACTTGAAGTTGCAATTGCGCGAAACGCAAGAGAAATTGCAGACTGCGCGGCAGGAAGTCAACAGCGAGATACACAGAGGCAGACGGTGTCAGAAGCTTGTGCGAAGAATTCGCACCGACATCTTCGACACCGCCGGACTCGTCCAAGAGCCGAGCGCTCTGAAAAGGGCCGTGACAAGTCTGTATCACAAGTATAGCGCGGCCGATGAGTTTCTGCGTAGTCGTAAGGCGGACATGGACGCGCAATGCGAATTCATCAGACAACGGGAGTTGTTGGAAAGGACCATCGCGTCCTTCCAGCGGCAAGTATCCAAGGACACGTCTACGGGCAGTAAAGATCTGAAGAGGATGACGGAAGAGAACAGCACGCTCATCGTGGAACTGAATTCTCTGAGGCAGCAGCTGAAAGAAGCGCGGGAATACATCTCGCAGATGGAGAGTCTGCTGGGTTTGACGCGGAAGGACGCGCGATCCGTGGAAGCGAGAGAAACGATGCAGCAGGCGTATCACGGCTACGAAAAGGTGCGGGAGCAATATACAGCACAAATGCAGGAATATCAGCAGATTATTCTGGCGCTGAAAGAGGATATAAAACGACTTTTGAGCAAATTGTCTGCCGAAGAAGCAAAAGCAAGGAAGAGGTCGCTTTGAACAGATTTATAATGTTTAGTCGTTTTTTCAAGGATTAAGTATTAAGATAGCTTTAATGATAAAATCTTATTGCGACATTAATATATAATGGAAATAGTTTGAAGGTATATGCTTACTGTATTATTTTATCATACACAGAATACAGAGAGACAGATTTTACTTTAAAAAACCACACTGAATAAAATCTCACTTATACCCTGTACATGCTTCTTTCGCCATTATTCGAATATCACTTAACAATTATCATTATTATTTGTATACTTGTGACGAAGAGAATGTTACGAACCTCTACAATATATGTTTATTAATATTTAATAAGTAAAAATAATCAACAAAAACCAAATAGAAATAGGAAATTGTTAGCGTTTGCTCACCAAACAAATTGGCATAAATACATCGACTTAGAGAATAAATGGAATGATAGCTTTACGATTTTTCGGATAATTCCGGAACTCCTTCTTGTATGCTTTGTGTTTTCCCAACGCCCACACGCTCATTTGATATGCACCAGCAAGCGTGAACAAACCAGCTGAAAATATATAAAAAAAATTTATTAACATTTTCTTATATTTGCAGTCGGACAATTTATGTCGAAAATCTACACGATATCAAAGATCGAGGTTATATTGAATTTCTATCGTATGCAAATCGCGTAGAATTTCTATCGTATGCAAACGTACCTGGAAGACACGACGTCATCACAGTGAACCCGACCCAACTTCCTATCTCGTATGTGTAATTGGGGCAAGAGACAAGAGAGAAGAGTGCAGTGAAAGGATTGGTCGGCATAGGAATTTTTCTGACTGTAGTACCTGGTGGTCTCAAGTCCCTCAGAGCTAAATGTACGCATAAGTTTCCCAGTTCACACAGCACGAATGTGGCTGCTCCAATATAGAACTGGCATGAACTTGGAGTCATGTATAATGGATGATTCACGTGATAAGCCACATATGCAGCAAAAAGCCAGTAGTATGAACAATTTTTGAATAAATTACGCAGTGGCATTGTTGCGTGACTGAAACGGTGGACAAACAGAGTCTCATAGAGACGTTTTGCATAGTGCACTGTCCAACAACCTGCTGCAAAGCTGAAAAAATCGCCTGTTAGATAATATACAATATTTTAAAAGAAAAGACAAGAGATTAATTGAGAGAATGAGTAGAATGACTTACTTGACAACATAGTGATAGCTATTGCTCTTAACTTCACCGTAAAACAACCATGGACGCTGATACAACCATAGATATACTATCAATGGTCCTGCATATTCTATGAGGAATACAGTTTTCCAGCCAATTTGGGGGCCAAGATCCTTGAAATATAACTTGCTACCAGTCTTCAGTGACAGAGACTTCACCGTTTCAGAGTCAGACAACGCTTTACCCTTGGCATCCAATCTCAGACTCTGTCTTAAAACATAAGGTGCTTTTTTTAATTCATGCAATTGCGTCTTGATCTCTTCTATAGTAGTGTTTGAATTCACCTGTAACAAGAATGTCATCACATTAAAAAGAAATATTGTCCTCAATTTCTCATTCAGTTTTTTGAAAGCCTTGCTTTTAAGAATAAAGAGATACATCAAATTGAGTCAAATTCCAATAAAATATTTTAGTTTTATAGTTATGTTAGCATTAATAAAATATCATTCTTTCAACACTTTTTACTCACGTTCACGTTAGCTATCAGCTTGGAGGACTTCGCCGATCGGATCTCAATCTGAAAAAACAGGAAGATAAATTGTTACAATAAATTGTCGTACAACTTTTGAATATCTTGCTTAGCGATATTCTGCGAATTCCTACCTCCATTATTGTTAATGAATGCGTTCCGTTCGTGTTAGAAATCAACGTTGCAAACTATCGTGTTTTCGCGATACGTAGCACCTTCACCGTTGTCACTATCAGTCTCGCCACTTCGTGCAACTCATGCGTCTAACATCGCGCGGTACAACGTTGCGTATATGTCGGTCACGTGACTGCAAATTCACTTTTGATGATCAAAGGCATTCCATGTACTCGAGAAATTTAATAGCGATCGCGCAAAGTCGCTCGTTTTGCTCAAGGAAATGAGATATGAAATTCTAAAATCAGTCAATCAGAGTTCACGATTGCACTCGTGCACGATGACTATGCTTTACAGTGTGATTTTAAAGTCATATGTGAAATGTAAATGACGGTCTGAGTATTAACATGTATGTACATAGTATATTCATTTGCACGATAATTTTCTTGATGAATGTATAATTAATTACTGTTTCTTCGTTTTTTTACGAAAAAAAATTTAAGTTACTAGCTCCTAGACGTTTGCCATAGAATGACGCAGCTGTATTCTATGAATGTAAGTAAATGTCATAAAAATATAATATAAGGAAAAGTTTATTAGAACACATGAATCTGCACACATAATATCTTGAGTAACAATATAGTATTATAAAAAATATCATATAATGCACGTATAACAAAGAATGAGAGTAAACGAATCGATATATAACCTAAACAGCATAAATCTCTTCAAGGCCTCTTCTAAAGACGTTCTAAGAACGTCCTTACGTTCTGAGAATCTCCCCAAATCTTATGCTGTCTAAATAATGAATAAAAAGCTTAAAGTTCCCTCTTTAAAATGTATTTATCATATTTTTGTTAAAAATAAAATTTTATTGTAAAAAGAATAAGGTCGAAATCGTCATTATCTATTTAACTGTATACGCTTCCATGACAAATGACAATGTTATAAGTGGTAACGTTATCAACTTAATATGCCTGAAAATTAAAAATTTTAAAATGTTTTTCGAAACATTTCACGCTACCGTCATGTTTACGGAAATTTACAATTTAATAGACTTCGTCCATGTTTCAATGGGTGCATCCATAACCACGAGCGCTCATTGAGTGCTAAATTTATGTATTAGATGCAAACACTTTCTAACTGCTAACAATAAACGATCATCAAAAACTAAACATTTACCATGATTCTGGATGCATCCAATAACGTTCCAATATTCTCCGATGCCACTGAGAATCTATAGTCTCTCTCTCTCTCTCTCTCTCTCTCTCTCTCTCTCTCTCTCTCTCTCTC